AGCTAAGAAGCACCTTGAAAGCTCGCTACTTCAATATCCTAATTTTCAAGATTAGACTGAGGTCCATAGAAGCAAAGGGACGTGCTCAGTCAGGGTCACACAGTCAGTAAGGGTCAGAGGCAGGAATAGGGCTCAGGTCTTCTTGCCTCTAAGGTAGGCTCTCTACTCCTTACTCCAAATTTCCACTGTCAAGGCTTACTTTAGCCCCACAAAATTCATCTCCCCACTCCTCCAAATTCAGCCACTAACTCTGTGATGAAATTAGCTCTGAATTTAGGGGAGTTGCTCTTCAAACAACAGAGAATTTATCCATCACTGGACCTACATTCAAAGTTTCTCTCAAGCTTGGTAGGACCTTTAAGAACTCATTCTCTACTTGGCATAGTCTTAGAAAACCCAAGCTCACCTCCATTCCACAAAGAATTACCAGAAGACTTCACTAGAGATTTCTAGTTATGCAAACACACACACACACATTAGGAATCTGGTCTTCTCCTTCTCCTTCAAGGACAATTTCCCCTCCTCTTCCTTTTTTTTAATCTTTGGGTTTTTTTGGGGGGGTGGGGTGTGGACCTCTGATTTCATTTGCATGGTAGAACTGCTAGTGTGGTGACTCCCTTCACTGTTGAATATTAGCCATTTAAAGCATAGAGAGTTATTTAGGGAATTTGCTTAGGAGGTTAGAGAGAGGTTACCTTTGGAAGGTGGGTGGCAGAGTGGATAGAGGAATCAGGAAGAAGGGATTTCTAGTCCTTCCTTTGCATTTACTAGCTGAGTGACCCTGGACAAGACAAATAATCTCTTTCACCCTCAATTTTCTCATTTGTAAAATGGGGATAATAAAAGCACTTATCTCACAGGGCTGTCATGAAATTTAAAAGAGGACACATATAAAAGATATACTAGTTGACTTGTCACAGTCATCCAGCTAGTCTATCAGAGGCAAAATTTGAACCCAGGTCTTCCTGCCTGCAAGGCTGGCAACCTTTCCATTTTGTCTGAAGGCCTCTCAGCATACCAATAATTTATTCATACAAGTTTTTTTAAAATCAGAGATTTTTTAAAAAAAAGTATTCTTATCCTCAAATATCTCTTAAATAGGCACATCCAGTTTTCAAATAAAGAAGAATTGGCATTAGGAGAAGCCGTTATCAGTGGTTGGCAGCTGGGCCAATGATTGGGCACACCCTTCACCCTTGGCACTGTCCTTGGCACTGTGCAGTGACATCTGCTGTGTGTGGCTTCTGGACGTCTTAGAGAAGGGTGCTACTTATTAAATTCACCGAGATTTTTTTCTTGGGAGCAATTTAGCATTTGCAAACACCAATGTATAAATGTGGCAGTGGAAAAGCCTGCATGAGATGTCATTTCCTTGTTGTCTGAATTGGCTGTGTTGAGATGCAAGAACAGGTCACTGTGGAAAGAGCTCTGAGTCTGGGGCCAGTGGACCTGGATTCAAAGCTGGACTCTTCACTACTTGACTGGCCTTGAAAGTCACTTAACCTGAATGGGCCTCAGTTTCCTCATATGTAAAATTGAGAATTGACCTAGAAGATTCTAAGATTCTTTTCAATTATAAATCTATGACTCTAGGTACTGGCCCAACATTACTTGGCAGTAATTAATAAGAGCTGACATTTACAGAGTGCTTTACAATTTGCAAAGCATATCCTATCCATTTTTTTATTTGATCTCCCAATAGCCCTGTAAAATAAATCATCTATGTTTTGTTATCATTCCCATTTTACAGATAAAGAACCTAAGACTCAGAGAGATTAGTCCATGGTCCTATATGTTCTTCTGATTCCAGATCTAAAAACCTAGTCTCTCCACCAGATTCCTGGCTGCACAGAAATCACCCCTTATATTTATATAACACTTGATGTTTGCAAAACCATTGATACGTGTTCTCTCATTTTAGCCTCATAAGACCGATGCTGCAATTAGCCAGAGGTAAACACTATGAGAACCAAGATCTCCATTATACAGATGAGGGAACTGAGACTCAAAGGGATTAAGTAACTCTCCCGTGGTAAGTGGTGTGCTGGTAAGTGTTTAACAACCTGTACTCCCCAAAATATATACTCATGACACACTTTTACGTTTAATCTCCATTCATCACTTTCTTAAGTCTAGGCAATAAACAAAACAATCAATACAGTCCTGATTTATAGCATTTGTCGATATCTGAAGTATAAATGCTCCCGCCGAATATGGAACAATCTGTTCTCTTGGGCTGGCTCCAGCTGACTCCAGCACAGCCCTGCTAGAAAGTATCAGAGCAAAGACTGGAACCCAGGTCTTCCTGAATCTAAATCCAGTACTCTATTTGCTAGATCAAGACATTGAATGCACATTAAAAATGCAGTCGCTTATTAGTAAGTCCAAAGAATTTTTTAAAAACTGAACACTGTGGCACCCTGTCACTTCCCAAATTAGTAATATTCGGGCAATGGCTTCCTCATCCTCAAGTAACAGAAAAGTGTGCCTTATTTATTTTGTATATGTTTTGCCCTGTAGAATATAAGCTACTTGAGGTTAGGAACTGTTTGCCTTTTTGCTCCAATTATCTGGTACAATTCCTAGTACATAGTAGGTGCTTAGTAATTATTTATTGAATGACTGATTGAATGGACATGTTTTGAAGAGGATCATGAGTTCATATCTCTTCTCTCTTAGAAGAGATCTTAGTGTTCATTTCCTCCAATCCCGTTATTTTACAGGCAAAATGCATTATGTACCAGTTAAACATCAAGGGCCTCCCTTGAATCCAAATCAATTTTCTCAAAGAAACTCAAAATCTGCCTTCACAGTTGGTAGTAGACTCAATTACAAGATTTAGGCCATTTTAACTTTAGACACATCCTTAAATCAAGCCTTTAAAAAATAAAAACAGAATGGGGCAGCTAGATGGCACAGTGGATAGAGCACTGGCCCTGAAGGCAGGAGGGCCTGAGTTCAAATCTGCCCTCAGACCAAACACTTGACACTTACTAACTGTGTGACCTTGGGCAAGTCACTTAACCCCAATTGCCTACAAAAAATAAAAACAGAACTTTAACTCTATATTACATCAGAAAATCTAGAGCAGATATACCATGGTTCATTGAAAATATACCGGACTCTGGAGTCAGAAGAGGGATTCAAATTCCTTTTCTACCACTTACTACTACTACCTGGGTGACTGTGAGACACTCATTTAACTTCCCATCCTTATCTTCAAAATGATTAGTTGGACTGAACAGCCTTTGACTTCTTTTCCAGACCTAATTCTATGATCCTATATTTAAAATTTCATGAAATTAGTGGACATTCATTATATACTAGTTAAACACCAAGTGCAACTCTAGAATCCAAACCTATTTTCTCCAAGACACTGAAAATTTGCCTTCAGTCAGTAGTAGACACAAGAACAAAATCTGACATCCCCCAAACAACTCAAAATCATGTGATATGAGAGGTTTAGAAGGGCTCTTAGTGGCTCTCTAGTTCATTTGTTCAACATAGGAAGTGAAAGCTGTTATTGCAAGATGAGTGGCCCTCTGCTTTTGCATTAACTCCTTCTGGTCCACCTTCTTCCTTCTCCTCTCCTCTTTGCCTGCTGCAAACCTTTTTATCCCTCCAGGACTATTTTGGGTTACTACAGTGGTCAGATCTTTCTAGCCCACAATTACCAAATTCTTTTCTCTGGACTTTTTGTCTTCTTTGCCTTCTTCTGGTTCACCATTTTTTAATGCATGTCCTGTCTCACCATTTGCCATCAGTGCTTTTAAAGTCAATCTTATAGACTGTAAACTCCTTGAGGAGAGGACCATGTTTTATACTTCTTTGTATCCTTCATAAAACACATTGCAAGTACTTATAAACTGCTGACAGTTAGCTATAATTAGTAGATATATCTTTTACAAAAAGTAAGTTTGGCTTTTGCTTTCCTCTAAAAGCTATGACCAATCTTTCCAAAACAAAGAATCGCATTGATGTATTTTAAAATCTATTTATTCCCAACTCTTTCTGATATAAAGCAATGGATTCAAACATTTTTCATGAAGCCCCCAAGCTGGGCTGATTTCTAGTATTCCTCTAGCTTGAGAAAGTAAATATTGAATAGAATTACATTTTAATAAAAATATTAGCAGCTATGAATAATGAGGGATAAATTCACTCCGGATTAAACAACATCTTCTGGAATCAGAAAACTTGATCAGGAGTCTCCACAGAGACATTGCACAATGAAACCAGATTTATTAGTTCTGTTGGAAAGAGCCTTTTTATTTATTTTAAAGTCCTATTATTAATTATTAGCCAATCCCTTTAGCAGCTTCTAGCAAGGAAGGAGAAAGGGTTTCAAGGATGGAGGGTCTTAGCCTCAAGCCTTTCTTGCTTAGCTCCACAGGACTTAACTGAACCAGAACCATCTGGAGGAGAAATCAGGAAAGAACTCCAGTGTCTGAGGAGCTCCTGGGGGCTGACTGGCTAATTATGACCGAGTACGCAGGACTATCCCTGTTCATCCCCTTCAGTGTCCCTCCCACCCCCCACTCCAGTGAAATTCAACTTGAGCCAGAAGGTTTAGGAAAATGTGAAATGGATTCATAAGTAACCCTTCCTATACCGTGAGAAACTGAGCAATTGAGGGGCTTGGGGTAAGGAAGAAACCCCCAGATTCGTTGTCCAGACAGAAGAGACAGCCTACCAAGGAAAACAAAGGACAGCGGCTTCCAGCCTCCCCCTCCCTCCCCCTTCCTCCCAGTCTCCAGCAAAACTTTTCATCCCTTCCCCAAGAGGGGAGAACGAATCCCCACCTCCATCCGTTCAATCATCCATCCACCTCCCTCCCGGGTCTCCAAGTGGCATCTCCCTCGCGTCTTACACCCAGTGGGGTTTGGAGTGGGGAGGCCAGGAAGAATCCCGAGAGCAGGGGTTTGGTTCAGTCTTGCTTGGAGTGTGTGCGCGAGTGTGTGTGCATGTGTATGTGGCAGGATGACGGAGGGGGGAATCACCTTATGATCCAGGACGCTGATGTATCCGTCCATGAGCCGCCCACCCTGAGGAATTCCGGGGCGCTGCGGGGACTGCCCCAGTTCTCCGTCCGCTGCCGGTCTGCCGCTGGCCCCCGCCGCTGCCTGCTCCTGCTCCCGTTGCTGGGGGTGCTCCTTCTGGCCGCCACCGAGGCCGCTGTACATGAGCAACAAGCTAGTACACATGGTGGTGAGCGCTAGACACGCAGCCAGCCCATGGCGCTGTGAGAGGAGAGAGAGAAACAGCGCTCAGCTTGCTCTACTCCTAGCCGAAGAGCGACGCGGGTGGAGTCAGCACCTCGGAGAGCTCCAGAGCCCGGGACCTTGGTGCGGTCAGCACCCAGGAGAGCTCCAGCGGCTGCTGCGGGCTCTGGGCTCTGTGCTCTGCTCTCCTTCCGTGTGTGCTGCCTGCCAACCCTCCAGCCCTCCCTCAGGGAGCGGGCACAGTCCTCTCCTGTACAGCAGAGGATGCTCCCGGCCCGGCTGGGCTCGCCTCGGATCTGCTCACTGCTGCCACCGCCGCTGCCTCTCGCTCCCTGGCTTTCTCGGCAGGGGGCAGGTGGTGCTTGGCCATCCTAGCCCGGAGGTGGCAGGGGCTGGGAGGGGACGCTCAACTGGGACCTTAGAGGGGCAGGGAGGACTGACCAAATGCGTGCCTTCGGCTCCTGCTTCTTTCCACCCCATTGGGGACACCAGATTCCCTATCTCTCTCTTCCTCTTCATCTATCACTGCAGCTCCTTGCAAGTTTGGAACCCGTCTGGAAAACCGAGAAAGTCTTCAGGGAACTCTCGCCCCCTCCTCGTTCCTCTTTGTCCCCCGCCCCAACCCGTTTTCCCAGGCTGACCCTTCCCCCTTTCCCCTGAAGCTACACCTTCACCCTTTCCTCTTCCAGCGCCTCTTTTCACCTGCCTTTTGGACATCCCACCCTGGACTGTAGGAAGAGCGTAGGTACCTGAGTTTTACATTCCCAGTCTTCTCTTCACTAGGCTGGAAGCTACAGCAGAGGCGGGGACCGGGGGTATGCGTGTGCGTGTGTGTGTGTGTGTGTGTGTGTGTGCGTGTGTGTGTGTGCGCGTGTGTGTGCGTGTGTGTGTGCGCGCGTGTGTGTGGGTGTGTGTGTGTGTGGGTGCGTGTGCGTGTGTGCGTGTGTGTGTGTGCGCGCGTGTGCGTGTGCGTGTGTGTGTGTGTGTGTGTGTGTAAACACGCATTAAAAAAGCAGGTGGAAAGTTGTCCCTTGGAAACCGAGGCGCCCGCGGAGCCGGGGTTCGCGGTTGCGCCCCTGGCGCGCCCGGCCCCCGCTGCCCCTTCCCCGGGGGCCGTTGCCGTGCCCGGGGTCCCGTCTCAGCCCCCGCTGGGAGTTGGGAGCCCCGACTCACCACCAAGGTCTTCATCTTTGGACGCCTCCTCCGCACAGAATCCTCAGGCACGGGCGTCCGGGGTCACTTTTTCTCCTCGGGCTTCCATGGCCAGGCAAAGTGGGCACGGGGGTGGTGGTGGTGAGGAGGGTGGGGTGGGGGCTCGGGGACCGGCGGCAGCGCGCGGAGGAAGCGGGGGCGGGGGCGGCGGGCTATTCCGGCCAGCCAGGTAGCGAGCGAGCTGGGCTTGGGATGGGGAAAGCGCGGCTGCTGCAGAGATTAGAGGCAGAATTAAAACTGAACTGGACCCTCTTGGTCTCTTAGTGATCTACACAAGTGCCGCCTGCCGCCGCCTGCTGGGTCCTAAAGCCCTCTGCACCCCAAGCCGTACAAGACGGGGAAATGGCATCTTTGCAGCCTAGGATTTGGGGGGCTGGGAGGCTACCTTGGGCCTCATTCCTTCCAGTTCTTTCTTTCTCTTACACTGGCACACACACAGAGGGAACAACCGCTCCGTTTTAAGAAAATCATCCAATAAACAGAATTGGGAGAGTTGGCTTTTTTCTCGGGGTGATAGCCCAGGAGCAGGCTGGCTGCTTCGTGCTGTGTTAATTCAGTAAACAGAAGCAAACTTCCCAGGATGTGGAAGATGAAGGCGCCTCCAGTGCCCAGTAGGGTGGCAAGAACCCCGGGCTCCAGAGTCTGAGGATCTGGGGTCAAATTCCACCTCGGGCACTCGCTCCCTCCGTGCAGTTGGCTAAGTCATTCAACCATCTTAGGCCTTAGTTTCCTCATCTGTAAAATGAGGAGGTGTGCACCAGCTGGCCTCTAAGGTCCTTTCCAGAGGGATGGGAATAATAAAGCGGAGGAGGAAGAGGAGCAGGAGAGGCAGCAGCAACAGCAGCATGCCATGGCTGGACGAGGAGCCCAAGAACGAGGAAAATCGGAGCTCGGGAGCTGCCTAGAGGACAGCACCCCCTGCAGCTGATTTCCCTATTTTCACTCTCGATAAGGAGGTCCCTAGAGGGTTGCCGGCCACAGCTCTCTCTTGGTGTTGTAGGGGTCACCCTGAAGGTTGCTGAAAGTTTCTAGCACTATTGTCCATCAACCTCATCAGAGTGCTTCTCACCAAACTGAGAAATGGTTTGGCCACAGAGGATAGGCTTCTGGAGGCAGGAAAATTTGGATTCAAATTTCACCTCAGATATTTATTAGCTGTGTGATCCTGGGCAAGTTTTATCATCATCGTCACCATCATCACCACCACCACCATCATCATCATCGCCACCATCATCATCGTCACCATCATCACCACCACCATCATCATCATTACCACCATCATCATCATCACCACCATCACCATCATCACCATCATCACCATCATCACCACCACTACCACCACCATCATCATCATCATTTACATAGCATTTTATGAAGGTTTGCAGAGTTCTCAAGGAACCCACAATCTAACGGGGAGACAACATGCAAAGAACTATGTGCAAGCAAGCTGCTTGCAGGGTGAGTTGGAAACTCATTTTATCCTTACAGCAATCCTAACAGTTGGATGCTTACCATTTTACAGATGAGTAAGCTGAGGCAGGGGCAGCTAGGTGGTGCCATAGTGCACGCAACACCAGGCCTGGAGTCCAGAAGACTCTTCCTGAGTTCAAATCTGGCCTCAGATACTTATTAGCTGTGTGCCAATAAACAGCTGGGCACAATCGAAAAAGACTGAACATCAGAACAACAGACCAACACAGAATTAAATGCTTTCCCAGGGTCACACAGGTAATTAGTGTCCTCAATTAGCCTCAGTTGCCTCATCTGTAAAATGGGGGGGGGGAATTGAAGAATTCTAAGGGTCTTTTCTAGCTCTAAATCTATAATCCTCTGACCTCTTAGTGCCTCACACAACCCTTTAAGACCACAACTAGTGGGAAAATTGCTGACTCACTATTTGAAAGAGTTTGCAGGACCTAGCCAGTCAGCCAGCATTGATATTTATTTATTTATTTAGAGCTTACTATGTGGCGAGGATGGTGCTAAGCGATGTAAGATGGATACAAAGAAAGGCAAAAAGAGCACTTGCTCCCAAGCAGATTCCACTCAATTGAGGGAGACAATATACAATGGGTGATGGAAGGTGACTGCAGAGGGGAGGAAGAGCTCTTGTACACACACACACACACACACACACACACACACACACACACACACCCCACACTCACGCACTGCTGAAGAAGGAAATGGCAAACCACTCTAGTATCTTTGCCAAGAAAATCTCAAATAGGGTCACAAAGAGTTGGACATGATTGAAATAACTAAACAACAATATACACATAGATGTACATACACACATATGTATGCACACACTTTTTTACAGATGAATTGAAGTGTGTTGTGTGTATATACGTATGAATATGTGTGTGTATATACATATATATGTATATGTATATATGTAGGGTCTCTATTGATGTCTGTATCCATCTAAATCAGGATTTGAGCTGTAACTTCATCAACACAGGGGACCTAGGGAGGAGGAAAGTTCCCAATTCAGGGAACTTCCAGTTTTAGAGTTGTCTGGGGAAGTGAGAGATTAAGTGACTTTCCCAGAGTTCCATGTCCAGCATGTGCCACAGACCAGATTGGAACCTGAGTCCACTGGACCTAGACCTTCCAGCATGTTCTCTATATGAAGCATCTCCATATTTGTGTATATAAACATACACATGCCCCATATGTAAATACATAACTATATATGTGCCATATGTGTTCAATTATGCAACATTGCCTCATCTTACATAATTGTTGTATATATATATATATCACTTCATATACATGTTTAGACATATATATGTTGCATGAATGCATACACATATCTATATATGGGGCAGCTTGGTGGCACAGTAGATAGAGTGCTGGAGTCAGAAAGACCTGAATTCAGATCCAGCCTCAGACACTTACTAGCTGTGTGACCCTGGGCAACTCACTGAACTCTGCTTCCCTCAGTTTCCTCATCTGTGAAATAAGCTGGAGAAGGAAATGGCAAATCACTCCAGTACTTTTGCCAAGAAAACCCCAAAAGGGTCCACAAAGAGTCTCACATGACTGAAAAATGACTAAGCAACAATAAATAACATATCTTCATATAAATATATATATACACATGTATCTATATGTAAGATGTATAAATACACATACATGCACACATATATACACATGCATATTCATATACATGTATATAGATAGCCTCTAGGTGGCATTATAGTACATAGAGCACCAGGTCTGGAGTCAGAAAGACTCATTTTCCTGAGTTCAAATCTGCCTTCAGACACTTATTAGCTGTGTGGATCTGGGCAAATCACGTCACCCTGTTTCCTCATTTGTAAAATGAACTGGAGAAGGAAATGGCAAACCACTCCAGTATCTTTGCCAAGAAAACACCAAATGAGGTCATGAAGAGTTGGACAGGACTGAAAACAATTCAACAACAACAATACATGAGACATATACATATACATATGCATATGTGTGTGTATATGTGTATATATATGTATATGCACATTTGTGGTACTTGAGTTCAAACTCCACCTCTGACTTATCACAGCTGTATGACCCTGGACAAGTCACTTAAACTCTCAGTGCCCCCAGGCCACTCAAGAAACCTGTAAGTTTTAGAAAAGTTCCTGATCTTTATTGGGTTTTGTGTCAATAGAGGGAGTTATATGTATGTATCTATAATGTTTGACTTTTGATTTTCCATCTATCATGGACACTCTTTCTCAGCTATATTTATTCTCAATTTGTATCATTGTTTTTTTGCCATCTTCCTCATCCCACATGTGAACACTTCTCAGATCCCTGGAAGCTGTAGAATTCTCTGGTTCTTACAGTCCTTATCTTTGAAAGCTTTATCTAAATTATTTGCACTCACTACTTGCTAATCAAGCCCCTTCACGCCTAAGGGTCTGGCCCTACTTGGACTTTCAGCGGCATGTAGTGCTCGTTTTCCATCCTCCATTGAAATTATTTTAAAGTTTTTCAAACATTCAGCCCCTTCCATCCCCATTATTAACAGGGCCTGGAGACTCTTTTCTCTAATGACATCTTTCTGTCTGCTGCAGATAAAATGGTTCGTATTCTCATTTTATTAGAACTTTAGGTCCTTATTGTTTCCTCTCTTTGAACCTGCTTGCATGAATGGCTCAAAGGCCCTCTGTGAAAACTTTTTTTTTCTTTCAAAAGCCTTTTTAATTATTGTTTTGTGCTGGGAAATTCCCATTGAGAGTTTGCTTTCAGGTTGATGCCTGTGCCAGTTGAAAATGATAGCATGTATGTAATTATAATGATAGAGCATGGTCCTGAGGAAGAAAAGGGAAATAGCCCCTGTCCTTCCCTCACAGAGGTCAGGAACTATGGGGATGGAACATGGTAGGTGTTGGGCAAGTCTGCAGAAGCGCAGACTGGTCTTGCTGAGCTTCTTTCTGTCTTCCTGGTTTGTTCTTTGGTACAATGGGTGGCTCTGCACCAGGCGGGAGCTTTTCATCTCTTTGGTGTCCTGGACTCTTTTGGCTGTCTGCTGAAGCTGAGAGTCCCCTTAGCTGAAGAACTTTTAAAAATACAATACACAGGACTACAAAGGAAAACCATTTTACTAAAATATAGTTATAAAAATTATTTAAAAAAACTCCAGAGTTCACGGAACCCAGGTTAAAAGTTCTTGTTTCATAGACAAGTAGGAGAGGGATCTATGTAGAAATGAAGATGGTATAGAAACAAAAGATAGCAATAATTTTTAAAAGAAAATGACAGCATGGCACTGACAGAAAAAATATAGCATATTTATTCTGAAATAGTCAAAATAATTTTTGTGGTATTACTGAACATCTCACCTATGACAATATGATGCTAGAAATTTTGTTAAGGTGGAGATGTTCTCATGGAGCCAATAATAGCTCAAAGCCAAAAAAAAAGACATGATAATTCTTCCTCCCTCCCTCCCTCCCTTTCTTTCTTCCTTCCTTACTTCCTCTCTC